GAGTGTTTACAATGAAGCATACATCAATGACCTTCAACAGTCCACTCTGAATGCCAGATCTTAACTACTCAGGGTAGGTTCTGATTAGGCTTGGTATCCCCCATCCTACCAGAAGATGGCTAGGTCGATAGGCACACTGACACAAGGAACAGCTTCCCCAAGAGTAAGGTTATAAAAGCAAAGCTAAACCATTGAATAGCTGGGGTGCAACTCCAGCACCCACCAAGAGGAAATTAGATTTTTGTTTTAAGATATTTTTTTCATTTATTTGTGTGTGATCTTATTGAATTCATGTGCATCACAGCATTCAGGAGCCCTCAGAGGCCATAAGAGGGCTTTGGGTCACGCAGAACTGGAGTTACAGACATTGTGAGCTTCCCTGTGGATGCTGGGAACTGAACCCTGATCCTCTGCAAGAGCAGCGAGCACTCCCACCTACAGAGCCAACACTCCAGCCCCAGGTTGACATTTAAGAAAGAAGCAGAAGGGAACAAGATTTTCTTGCTTTTAAGAAACTGACCACCTAATGGGGTGGAAATGGGGGGGATGGAGGGGGTTAAACATAGAGACTATGCTAAGAGGCACCAGAGTATCATGGAATTCCATAGAAGGCAGGAATGATATTCCAGTGTGAGATCAAAGGCATAAGCAAACTGGTTCTCAGGGCATAGATAGGATTCCAGCAAGCAGAGATTTGTGCCCCTCACACACAATGATGCTCCTTCAGAATACACCCATCAGGACACATGGCAGGGAGCAAGGGATTAAGCCAGGGCATTGTTGAGGCAAAATCCAAGGATAGCCCGAGTCTTAATCATATCATAGATATAGCCCAGTGGTGCAGTGCTTGCCTGAGTTCAAAGCTCTGGGTCCAATCCCCAGTGAGACATAAGAACAGGAAGGAAGGAGGAGGAAGGGAAGAGTTAGGCTGGGGCCTGACCGATTGAAAGAGTAAAGCACCATAACATAGGGGGTGTGGTGGTTTGAATGCAACTGGCCCCCATAAGCTCAGAGGGAGTGGCACTATTAGGGGGTGTGGCTTCGTTGGAGTGGGTGTGGCCTTGTTGAAGGGAAGGTATCACTGTGGGGGCTGGGTTTGAGGTTTCCTATGCTTGGGATAACACCCAGTCTCCATTCAACTTACTGTTGCCTGCAAGACACAGGACTCTCAGCTCCAGCATCATGCCTGCCTGCATTCCACCATGTTCCCCCCCATGATGGTAATGGACTGAATCTCTGAACTGTAAGTCACCCCAGTTTATAAGAGTGGCCATGGTCATGGTGTCTCTCCTTCACAGCGATAGAAACCCTAACCAAGACAGATGGAAAAATGGGAGTTTGGTCTTGGGCATGTTGGTTGTAACCTGCCTTGCCTACTATCCAAGTGGACAAGACTATCAGAGTTAGGTGCTCAGAGAAGTGCCAGCTGGAGACTGAATCTGGCTGTTTGGGATTGTGGGGGTGGGGGGGTGGGAAGATTCACACATAGGGCTTCTCAATGGGAGACCCCAAGACAGAGCTCTGGATCTTTCATCTTCTCCAGGCGCAGTGAAGAAGGCACCCTGGAGATGAAAGGAATGTCCAGGTTATCAAGAAAATGCACAGGGGAAAGTGGGTGTGCTGGCTGGTTTTTATGCCAACTTGGCACAAGCTAGAGTCATCTAAGAGGAGGAAACCCCATTGAGAAAACACCTCTCTAAGATCGGGCTGTAGGCAAACCTGTGGGCATTTTCTTATTTGGTGATAGATACAGGAGGAACCAGCCACTGTAGGTGATGGTGCTACCCCTGGGCTGGTGGTCTTGGGTGTTATCAGAAAGCAAGTTGAGCAAGCCAGTAAATACCCCTCCATGGCCTCTACATCAACTCCTCCCTCCATGTTTCTGCCCTGACTTCCCTGGATGATGAACTACAAACTATAAGCTGAAATACAGCCCCCGTACACACACACACACACACACACACACACACACACACACACACACACAGGTTACTATTAGTTATGTGCTTTATCACAGCACAGAAACTATGAGACAGTAGGGATCTGAAAATTAAGCTTAGGAACTGAGTTAAGAAAGTAAGAGCAATGGTTTAGAAACAGGATGTGGTGGACCAGCCGGGATGTGAGCTTTGATACCAAGACATGCAAGAAATTTCCTCTGAATGAGGAGGGGTGGAGCCAACTTGGTTCTGGGCCTATCAGAAATCCATAAACATAACAAAATCTCAGTGGCACCCTCAGGATAGACTCTCCAGCTACAGACTTTTCGGGGTGGGGTGGAAGGTGTGTGCAGAGGGGTCCCAATGAAAGACCTAAAAAGTAATGTTAATGATGGACTAACCTAGAAACCAATATCTGTTCCTTGGAATTTGCTAGCTTCCTCTCACAAGGCCCTGAGATAAGAATTCATACTGCCCCTCCTTTCCTGTGAGTCAACAGGTGGTAAATAGGGTCAAGAGATAGCTGTAACTCTGGTTTGCCCAGACAAGATTAATTAGCACACCTGAGGCCCTAAGGTCTGCTGACCCTAATAGCAGACCTTCCGGCCTCCAAGGGTCATGTACTCAATGGACAGAGGGTCCCACCCCCTCCCTAAGCTTGTGGGTTTGCCTGGACCCAGGGGAGGGGGCTTCTCTCTAGCCTGCGTGCTGGAGGAGCCCGTTTGCGCAAACGTTTCCTGTTCATTAAAGCCTCTTGTGTTTTGCAGCAACTGGACTGGACATTGAGTTCTTGGGGTATCGACCGAACCTGGAAGACTCCTCATTCTGAGGGTCTTACATTCTGAGGGTCTTACACCAAGAACCTTATCTCACAAGCTGTGAAAATTGAGATGTCTGCCCGCCAGCCAGAGGAGGAAGGCATACCCTGTTATAGAACTCAGATGAGCAAAACAGCCAGTTCCATGCTCTGCAAGGAGCACCTTCCTTCATCCTATCCCACCCCACACCATGGCCAAGGTCCAAGTTTGCACCAGAAAGCTACAAAAGAATTTACTGAGACCTCCATGGTGAGCAGGGCTTCCAACCTTGCAGGAAGTTTACCCAGGCTCTCCAAGTCATCGGAAAGTGATTCTTGAATCCCCATGAGGTGGAGACTCCATCCCCCACCCTGGTCTCCAAAGCCCACCTGTAGATTAGTGGAAGCACAGGGGAGAGATGTTGGCTCACTGTATCTTTCCCAGCATTCCACTCTGAAATGCAAATTAATACTCCAAGGGTCCAGGGGCCCCTAACTCTTCCCCAAACCATCAGTATCTAAACCAAAAGTTCCCATTACCAAAACTCTGCACATTTTGACTTTTTCAGATACAGTGCCCCCCCCCATCACACTAGCACTGAGAAATAGCACCCAAAGCTCCATAAAATAATCTTACACAATGGCATTCATGTGCGACCCCTCACTTCTACATATAGTAACAGGGTGACTAAATTCTAAACCCAAAAGAACTTAAAAGATAAAATTAATATTTTACAGTAGCTGGGGTTTCATGTAGGACATCAACAAGAATGAGTCACGTGCCTGCCGGTTACTAATTTCTCATGACTACAAAGTCCATTGCAATTCTGCAAAGGGCAGTTAGGGTTTGGCAGCATTTTGTGTAATTCCTCAAAAATGCAACTGCAAAGTTAAACACGGGACTGGCAGGGAGCAGGAGAGAATGCTCATGCCACCCTTCATGTTATAAATGATCACTAGCCACCAGATTAACAGTTGTCTACTTCCTTAGACAAGGTGTTTATTTATTATGTGCACTCTAAAAACTAGAATTTGTATGACTTAAATTCTAAGGAGTGAGCCTTAAGCTGAACCCTAATCTGTTTCTGATGGAAACTGATCATTTGTTTTTCTTTTCTTCAAAAGCTAGTGCAATCCTGCCCACCCCCACTCCCACCATTGTTTTTCTAGACCAGTCTGTCCACTGAGCTGATCTGGTTCAGAGCTCATTGGTTCCCTTAAAAACGGCCAGACTGACAATGCTTGGGAATCACTATCCTAAAAGTGATAAAAAGACACACCTAACACAAGCAAACCTAGATTTTGTGAAGTTGGCATCCAATGTCATTTAGGCAATATCATGTGACCAGCACCTCATAGCAGAGTTGTCAACTCAATAGGCCAGCATTATTCTGCCTCAACTGTGGAAGGCTTTAATTGAACGTGTTTAGAACAGGACTGGCACCATAGCTTAGGTTAAAGTGCCCATCTGGTTAAAAAGTGTTTAGAACTAGCCTTGATCTTCAAGGCATTCAGAACCACTGGCTAAACCAGGCAACTACTTCATCCATGAGGAATCCTTTCAACTAAAGATAGTATTCTGGAAACACAGATATTGGTGAAGCCATAAGCAAGCTGTAGTTAGTTCTGTGTTTTTATGTCCATCTTGTACTGTGCAAAGGGGGTCTTCAGTCCGATGGTTAATTACTGATGGTGGAGGCAAGCCAGTTCCCTATCCAACTCTGCCTCAGAAAGGAACTCTAAACACAGCTTAAGCCCAAACAGCTCAGGAATGAGGTTTTGACACCTCTGCACTAGATGCAAAGTAACCTTGTGCCACTAGCAAGACGGATTTTACTGGATTAACACGAAGTTCTTACAGGGTGTAAAGCCTGTCTACAGCTTGTGGACAAACGTGTTGATGTTGCTCAACCTCTTTATTCCATCCCTGAAGCTACTTCTAACAAATCTTCCGGCTCTTACCTCTAGGAACTTCCCAACACCAAGGGAAAAGCGTTGGCTTCTTTCCTCACTAGAGAGTCCTATGTCCTCTTCTAGTGGCCCTAACGCGAGCGCGGGGTTACCACGGTATTTCCCCCGTTTCTAGCTCCACTTCTATGAGGGAGCACTGGAGCTGCTGAGGGATGTCTCCCCTTCCCCCCGCGAGCGGTAAGTCCTGGATGCCCTCGCAATGGGGTTCAAGTGCGGCTTCCTGGAAGTGGCCCTGGCACTTCTGAGGCCCTCAGTCCCCCAAGATGGCCCCCTGCCTGGCCCCTCGCACTCACCAGAAGTAGGTTGTGCGCAACCAGGTACCCGAGCCTGGAGCTGCCCCGCACGCCCGGTGCCAGGCGCCCGGTGGCGTACCCGTGCCAGGCCACCACGTACGGGTTGTCAATGGTGATCCAGTACTTGACCTGGCCACCGAAGTGGCGAAAGCAGAGCTCTGCATAATCCCTGAAGTGGTCGGCCAGGGCGCGATTGGCCCAGCCGCCATAGGCGTCCTGCAGGCGCTGCGGCAGGTCCCAGTGGTACAGGGTGACTACCGGCTGCACGCCCAGCTCCCGCAGGCGCTCCAGCAGCCGCCGGTAGTAGCGCAGGCCCTCGCGGTTGGGGGTGCCCGCGGTGCCATTGGGAAGCACCCGCGCCCACGAGATGGAGAAGCGGTAGTGAGTGACCCCCAACTCTCTCAGCGCCTCCGTGTCACGGTAGACATTGTTGTAACTGTCGCTGGCCACATCTCCGGTGGAGGGCAGAGGAGGTGGCGGGGCACCCGACGGCGCCACAGCGATCGCGGAGTGGCCTGAGGTGGCCGGAGGGTGATGAGTGTATGTGTCCCAGATGGACGCGCCTTTACCGTGCTGTCGCCAGCCGCCCTCTGTCTGGTAGGCGGCGCTGCCCACCGCCCAGAGGAAGCCGTCGGGGAAAGTGTCGTGGAGGAAGCCAGCGACCTCCGGGGAGGGAGGGCGCTCGAAGCGAGCCCAGGTCTGCGCGCCCTGACCCGGCTCGGCGCGCAGGCTGCGGGCGCGTAGGGAGAGCAGCAACAGATGCAGCGACAGGAGACGGTGCAGCAGCAGCCGCGGCAGGCGGCGAGGAGGGGCGCGGGCTGGCATGCTGCGGGAGCCGGGAGGGCACCGCGCCGCACCCCTTTATGCCCGCGCCCCGCCGCCCGCCCCCCGCGGTGCCCACCCCCGCTCCCGCCGCCGGGCGGACAATGATTACCCAGAGCAGGCACCGCCCCCCACCCCGCCAGCCTGGAACGGGGAGGGGAGGGGGGGCGGGACAGGGGCTCAGGCAGCCAGGGTGCTGGAGAGAGTACTATTGGTGTCCTGGGGACGTCGGAGAACAAGCACCTGCTGCGCCCAGTGAGGGAAGCAGCGCATCCCACATCGTGCAGGTCACACCCTACAATCCCAGATCCTCCATCCTGGGATGTTCCCACGTCGCCCACTCCCCTGCTCCTGCTCTCTTTGCCTTCCTGGGACTGGTGTTCATGGAGGACAAAAGCGGCTGTCCAACTTTGGAGCCACAGGATAAAACACCTGCTTTCCCATTTCTCCCATTCGGAGCTTTCTAGCCAGGAGGAGCTTCCAGATGACATCCCTGGAGAGCTTTGCCAGTGTCTCAACGTAGCGGGAATTCAGGAATTCGCGTTGGAACTTTGACGGGTCTCAGAAAGTTCTGGCAGTTCCCTTCTGATGAGGGAGTCCCCAATCCCATCAGAAAAGGCAAGAGTTGGCCCTGCGTCAGACCCCAACCTGGGAAGCCTTTAAGAACACAGTGGATCTAAGATTTATGGGTTGGCTGGGACTGCTGTTTCTCTTCCCTTCCCCTCTCCCTTGCCTCCCCTCCCCTCTCCCTGTTATCCTTTAACCCTTTAAATCATCAGTGTTTCTTAGATTCCCCCCCCCCCCCGAATTCGCTGGTGAATTTGTAGCAGTGGGCGGGTTGTTTTCTGAAAGAAAGGAAAACTCCAAACCACTCAGATTTCAACTGCCACGACACTGAATCCAATTTATTATCCGCTGTCATCCTTCTAATTTCTGTTCACATTTTAGCTTCCAGCCCAGACTTCGCAAGTGGGGTCTCCGTGCAGGAATGCTGAATGGGAGACCTCTGCCCCACCCACATACACACTGTGCAGGGATAGTTAGCCCAAACATTCCCATGCCTAGAATGAAATAGAGGCAGCACACTGTCTCCAGTTCTCTTAAAGCCCTTCAAACAGAAGTTTCCAGCCACAAAATCCATTATACACCTCTCTGTATGTACGCATACATCATATACATATGCATACATGTGATTTGTGAACAATATGCGTTTGTTGGGGAATGTCACAAAACACAAAAGACAAATGTACACCAAGGTGAATCCATAATGGGAAGCCCAGAAAAATGAAAGACCTCACCATCCTCTTCCGTAAGTTACAGCTCAGCCTCTGCCATCCACCCACCCACAGAGGGATGAGTAACACCTTTGCAGGGTGCAGGCACTCTGAGAGCATGTCCTCGGAACTTCATACAAAGTGGAAGCCAGTAAAGTTACAAGTGTTACAGTTGAAGATGTTACTGTGCAGTCCCAGGAAACTCATTCCCATATCTGATGAACTATTCTCAACTCCAGCTAGCTTATGTTATCACCATTAGTGAGGTAAAGTCACCAGACACGAACAGCGATGCCACTATTCTGCTCAGTAAATGTAAAATTAACAAACAATGATGCCTGGACAATTAAGGAAAATCACTCCCTCCCCAGTCACCATCTCTTACCAGGAGATGAAGCAGCACACATGTCTGCCCGCATCATGGAAACAACAACCTCTTCTAGACCCGAGGCTTCATAAGTCTTAAGGAAAACAGTTGGGGTTGGGTGTCTACTCACTTCCTGATGTTTAGTCTGCTTATGAAGAACAGACTCCATCTATGGTTTTTGTTTGTTTAAAAATAAAAAACTTTTACCAACAATACAAGGAAAGGGAATTTCCCTTTAGCAGTGATTAAAAAGGTAATTAAATGCTTCCCACTTGAAATTCACCTGCAAGAGAGACTTGTGGTATATGAATATACTGGATAAACTCCAAAACTACCAAACTTGATAGCAGGACTCCCAGATCACAGTTAATTCAGCCAAACATGAGCAAGTCTGTGGAAATTAAACCTCATTTCCAGAACTTTCTTATAATTTTTTTCAGATTTATTTTTACTTTATGTATGTGTTTGCCTGCATGTATGTATGTATGTGTACCACATGTGTTCAGTACTCACAGAGGCCAAAAGATGGCATCAAAACCCCTAGAGCTATAGCTGCAGCTGGCTGTGAACCATGTGAGTGCTAGGAACTGAACCTCAGTCCTCTGCAAGAACTGCAAGTGCCCATAACTGCTGAGTCATCTCTTCAACCCTTGATGCCCATAACTGCTGAGTCATCTCTTCAACCCTTGATGCCCATAACTGCTGAGTCATCTCTTCAACCCTTGATGCCCATAACTGCTAAGTCATCTCTCCAACCATTGATTTCCAGAACTTTCTGTTTCTTGAGGTTCTGCTTGTGGTTATTAGGTTCTGGACTCCCAAAGCGTGAGTAAAGACTCCTGTGTCCCTTCTCACATTTGGGGAGATAGGTGGGATGAAGTAAAAACATGAAGCAAACCAACCAATCAATCGGATGAGTACTAGGAACCTCAGAATAAAGTGTTTTCCTGCTTAGAAGACAAGAATGATAAACTGGAGACATGATCATATTTTATTTTATTTCATTTTATTTGCAAGCATGTAGGCTTCTCATGTCTTGCAGTCTGAAATAGCATGAGCGACAGCTGCTCTTCTCTGAATATGAAAAAAATGTTACAACCACAGCAAAGGAAAAGATGCAGTAAGTTTTGCTTATTGCTTTTGACATGGTGATGAGATCATTTTCAACAGGCAAACTGAGGTCAGCAGGGGATGAAGAGATGGCCCAGTGGTTAAATTGCTTGCTTCACAAGTGCAAGGGTCTGAGTTTGGGTGCCCAAAAGCCCCACATAAATGCCTAGTGGGCATGATGGCCTGCCTGTGATTCCAGCCCAGAGCAGGCTAGCTAGCAGACTATGCATATCTGGGCACTCCAGGCTTTATTGAGAAGCCCCTCCTCAGTAAAGACGGTGGAATAGCAATGGAGGGTGATGGCCTGAGGGTATCCTCATGCACACATCTATATCACACAACACACACGAAACTGAAAAAATGTGAACAGTGCGATCATCTTTGTCTCCATCTTCTACATCCCTTTATCCACTCTCCTCAGACCTTTTCTCCTGTGTGCCCCTCAGGCCACAGGACTTCTACAGCTAAGGGAACAGAATAGGTTTTCTTGATTCTAGTATACCCAAGCACAACGCCACCTTCACAGGTTCTCAGTTCTCTAGTCACAGGCCTTCACCTTCCATTGGGACTGCATTTCTATCCACAGCAGCAAACTGTGGTCACAGTGGTAAGTAATGTGACTGGGAGGTACTCAGAGACATCAAGGCACAAGCATCCCTGCTCTCAAAGGCAATCTGGAATTAGACAACCAGGCAAGTTGAAAATAAGCTGTTTAATTTGTTAGGTATCAATAAATGACACCAAGAAGTTAGGGGACAAGAGCAATTGCCCTGTTTTGAGCTTTTCAATGGAGACAATTTTAATAGAGACAACAATAAGTAGCCAGTCAATTAATTTGACAGTAGTATACAGACTTGACTGAAAAAGAAAATACCGGAATCTAAAGGATTACCCAGAAAGGAGCCATAATAACTTGGATAACAAATTAAGATAGCCTCATACCTAGCATGGTGAAAAAATGCAAAAAGGAAGAAGGAAGACACACAGGGGAATATCACCTGCATATGGGGTTCTAGAGAGGACAGAAGATTAAGAACTGCTTAATTGAAGATTTAAAAAGAAAGACCCATAGCTATACTTAAGTACATTAAAGTATGGTTCATTTGGTGAAAGATGAGTTCAATGTTAAGTAGGGCATCAAGTGTTTGTCAAGGATACCCATTGAGATATACAATCAAAGCTCAGGGTACAGACTGAAGAACTGGACAAGAAATTTTGACTCCAAGTTATGGGATGAAGTGAGTGTAGTAAATGAGAAACACGTAAAAGCAAAAGGCTGAACACTGGCTGGTGTGCATCTCCATCTGAGGAGAGGGATGGGATAGATGGGAAATAGTGAGCTGGCTTCTTTTTCCATCAACTTGACCTATGCTAAAGACATCTGGGAAGAGAGACTCTCCATTGAGAACATGCCTCTGTAAGACTGGCTTGTGGTCAAGCCAGTGGGGCATTTTTCTTGATTAATAATTGATGTGAGAGGCCCAACCCACTGTGGGTGCTATCACCCCTGGGCTGGTGGTACTGAATTGTATAAGAAAGCAGACTGAGCAAGCCATGGGGAGCAAGCCATGGGGAGCAAGCCAGTAAGCAGCACTCCTCCATGGCCTCTGCATCAGCTCCTGCCTCCAGGATCCTGCTTTGACTTCCCTCAGTGATAAGACCTGAGAGTTGTAAGTAGAAATAAACCCTTTCAAATAAACAGCTTCCTCCCCAAGTTTCTTTTGGGCATTTTGTTTAGTCATGACAATAGAAACCCTGATTTGACAGCTGGAAACAATAACAAGCAAACAAATAAATAAATCACAGAGGAGGCCCAGGAATGCCAGAATGAAGGTTAGGAGATAACAGGTTTGCAGCTTAGGAGATAACAAGGAGGGGAAAACAAACAAAAAAACCAAGATCACACTTATTGAGAAAGTGTAGCTGATCTAGAAGTTAGCTCATTTGGTGACTTTGAGGACAGATTTTTATCAGTTCTGGTGGAATAAAGCCAGGTCATATTACAAGGTATTAATGAGGATTTACAGGAGGCAAAAAATATTGTCCACAGAACACGGTCTTCTGAGAGGTTGGAAGTGGAAGAAAGAGCAAATATGTCACTCGGAAAACTACAGAACACAGAAAAACATCCTGGATGGTAAACTCTGTGTGTGTGTGTGTGTGTGTGTGTGTGTGTGTGTGTGTGTGTGTGTGCAGATAAAGGAGGGCAAAGGAGAAGATGCTCTGCAGCCTTCAGGAGAGCCATGAAACAGAACAGCATGGCAACACCAGCTGTGGA